TGGATGGGTAGGTGGGATGCATGGATGTGGATGGATGGGTGGGTGGGTGGGTGGGTGAGATGGATGGATGGATGGATGGATGGATGGAGGATGGGTGGATGGATGGATGGATTTACATGCCTTGAGATTGAAGCATGTTTTCTCCTGTTTGCTTATGCTTTTTCTTTTTCCCACTGTGTTTTTCTTTTTCTCCCCCTTAGGCTGCCTTTCTTTTTTTTTTGCTCTTTTTCTTCCTAGGCTAGGCTGAGTGGTTTGAATAGGACAGGAGTAAGAAAGAGGAGCTAATTTTGACTTTCTTGTTGAGTGTTTGAAGTCAAAAGGTGGGAGGCAGGAAATTGACTGATTTGACAGATTGTAGATGCCTCTGATTATGGAGATGGAGGAGGAGGAAACGAGGGAGTGAAGTTGAGTTGGATATGGAGTGCTTCCGATTGCACACGCCTGGGTAGAGCCCTAGGATGTCATGTCGAGAGCGAAGACACACACGGGCAATTTTTAGGCCGACTTGGTTGTTTGGTTGGTTGTTGGCTTCGAGAAGTGTCTGGTTTTTTGTAGCCAGAAATGAGCTGATAGGTTTCTCTATGAGAAATACAGTTTTGGCGAATTAGTTGTTGTTGTTGTTGTTGAGCTTGCACAAACATTCTCCAGCTGTGCTGTCTGTACAGTGAATTGCGATGAACGGCATCGAGTTATCAACCTACATCCACGTCGGCGGCCTTGTACGCAGGAGGTTCTGAACAGGGGGAGTTGTAAAGAAGAAGATAAAAAAATGAATTCATTTTTTCTTGGTTTTCTTCGCTTTTGCGCTCTGATATCTTGTGACAATATATATCTGAAGCCAGTTTTTGTCCCAGTTTTTGTCCCGGTTTTTGTCCCAGTGTTTGTCCCAGTTGTCCCAGTTGTCCCAGTTGTCCCAGTTGTCCCAGTTGTTGCAGTTGTCCCATTTTTGTCCTTGTCCCAGTTTTGTCCCCGTTTTTGTCCTTGTCCCAGTTTTTGTCCTTGTCCCAGTTTTTGTCCAAGATTTTTTGTCCCAGATTTTTTGTCCCAGATTTTGTGTCCCAGATTTTTTGTCCCAGATCTTTTGTCCCAGATTTTTTGTTCCAGATTTTGTCCCAGAATTTTTGTTCCAGTTTTTGTCCCAGATTTTGTTACAGTTGTCTCAGTTTTTGTCCCAGTTTTTGTCCGTCTCTGTTTGGGAAGAGGGAATTGTCCTGGGGTGAGAGGGTACCCAGTTTTCACCGCGGTTTTTCTCTGGGAAGTTGGAATTTGGGACAGAAACACGTCCGAAATTCCAACTTCGCAGACGAAAACAGGTGAAGTGGGAACTTGGGACATGTTTCTGTGGCGTAATCGAACTGACATCTATCTGCAAAGAAGTAAAATTTTACGAAACTTTTTTGTCATTTTAAGAGAATCGAGGTTCTTTGTTTTCAAAAAGAAATATGTAGGCATTTGCCGCATTTCGTTATCCAACAAGGAAAGTTTTTGGTGCCAGTTTTTGTCTCATTTTTTTGTTGCCTGTCCCCGTGCTTGCTGCCAGTGTTTTCTAACCAGTCTCAGACTCTGTGTTTGTTCCTACGGTAGATTTTGTCCCAGTAACTGTTGCCAGTCTTCTTTTATCTGTTTTCGTGAAATTTTGTCCCAAATTTTGGTGTCAGTTTTTTTGTCCCGGGTCGGTTCTTTTTTACCCACTCTCTAACGGCTGCCCACCGGTAGTGCTATGCTTGTAGTAAGTAACCATGAACCTAGCCAGTTTCATGGCAAGAATTCTTTTCACGGACTGCAGGCATGACCCGGGTTGTTAGGACCACGTCCTGATCTCCTCCTGGTACCCATGGGCTCAGGGCCGGTCCCACTCGTGCCAAGTGTGTGAGGTGAATCAGGTGATTCCTTTTTGGTTTTCCGCACGGACCTGAACAGTTTTTCTACCAGATTCAGGCATGCATACTGAGCAGACACACACTCTGCATTGCTGGGGCCTACCGTCTTCATCTGAATAGAATCCCCGGTCATTACTTCTGTATTTGGGGCAATTTCCAGTCCACATGCAGCCTTCTGTATTTGGGGCAATTTCCAGTCCACATGCAGCGGCGTTGACCGGGCGCTCTATTCAGGTGAAGATGGTAGTATAACCTTGCCTGGAAGTTGGCTCTTTTCCCCCAAAAGTCTTCCCACCCAGTTGCGAGTAAAGTGGCGACAGTGCTGACTTTTTTTTTTTTTTTGTTTGTTTTTTTGTTTTGGCGACAGTGCTGACTATGTGCATGATATGGGAACTGTTCCAGCACCGACAACTAGGCCCAGCCTAGCGCTATGCCCCGGAGTTCCTATTCAGTACCATGCCTAAAGTTCCCACTGCCGAGTTTGGAACTTCGATGTAGTTCCACTGCCCTCTCAGTGGGTTCCCACTGCTGGGAACTCTGATGTAGTTCCAGTGGGCTGTCGCTGGGTTTTGCACATAGTTTTCACAGTAGGCTATCAGCGCATTCTTGCACATAGTTTTCACAGTGGAATAGTTTGCACAGTAGGATATCAGCGCGTTCTTGCGCATAGTTTTCACAGTGGGAACTAAGTTCCCACTGTGAACATAGGTCCCAGTGGGTTCTGGACAATAGTTCACTGTTAACCATGCCCAAAGTTCCCACTGCGCATCGTTCACTGTGTGGAGGCATAGGCATACTATGCGCAGAACCCACTGAGGACTATGCTCATAGTAGTGGTGTTCATAGTGGGGACTTAGAACTGTGTACGCTGGACTGTTTGTGGAACTACGTCATAGTTCCCAAGGACAGCTATGATCAGAGCGGGAACTCTGATGTATTTCCCACTGGAACTGTGTTGGACTGGGAACTATGTCCAGAGCTCCCACTGTGAAGCATGCTCATAGTGGGAGGAACTCTTACATAGATTTAACATACTCCCAACTGGAACTATGTAAAGATGAACTGTGGAACTATGCATGAACTCTCTCATCACTTCATTTTGCTGCTTGTGACCTGCATCTCTGCCTCCCTCTGGGTTGATTCAACCACTGTTATTGTGCCTTCCCCTAGGCAGGCTGGCTGGCTGACAGGCCTCTGCGTAGGTATGTGGTTGTGTGGGTGGTCGTGTGTGTGTGTGTGTGTGTGTGTGTGTGTGTG